CTCTTGGAGGAGAGCCTCCATCATCATCATCCGGAAGGCAACGAAGAGGAGGTTGACAAAGAGTGGGAGGAATTTACGAGACTGATGGCCAAGTTGAAGGAAAATCGGCGAAATAGGTCGCATAGGTAGAGAACAATTGTTCTATTTAATATTATGCATGGCACACTATCGTTAAGAATTTGTTTCATTGAAACATCGAATTTCCCCCTACCCCCATTTGGTTAATTATATTGGCCAAAATATTATTATTTCACATTCGTCGATTGTGTTCGGATAGATTACTTACAATTTTTCTATTCGTAGATTATCTATAAAATATGAATTCATTTTTATCAGTAGAATATATCTGTCTAACATAAGATTTCTTTTTATCTTATATTTTTCTTTCATATATAATATATCACCCTTTTAAAAAAGAATCTTTTTATCAGACCTTCGCAAGCCTTCTACCCGTGTCCTCTACCAAATCCTGATGAGGAGCAACAAGAATTCGATCCTTTCGACTATATAAACACAATTGTAAGACATTATTTATTTATAATTTGTCATGAAAATTGCTCAGCATGAAGGAATGTTAGACAAAAGCTCAAGAGAATGTTATAATATTCGCTTGGAACAAGTATAAGGAAGGTTATTCTCTTCTTAGGAAAACCGAGGAATATGTGAACCGTACAATGTAATAAAACGCGAAGGTCAAATTCGAAAATTCGAAAATTACAAGGAAAATCCTTACGATCTTTTTTTCCCGTTTCTTTATTTTTTCCTAAAAAAAAATAACACTCATAAACTACTCGCGGAAAAATGAGGATTTCGTTTGGACACTGTCTAACTTCCTGGGGGAGAATGAAAATGAACGATGCCAATGAACGCCACTCGGATTTATAATTATATCGTCGTTGTTGCTGCTAGACGAATCGTAGACGAGTTATCTTTGCTTGCCAACAAGAACAATACTCATCTTTTCTTATATTAGATGAATTTCTTGAATCAATCTTTATCATCTGTTTAACCATGTTTATACAATTGTATTCCTTCCAAAATAATGAAATCTATTGGAAATATAAAAAAAGAAATTGATCTTGTGTCTAACAGAGATTTTGTATGGTCCGTAAAGTGAGGAGCGGTACCGATGGTCAAAGTGACACGACCTTTGAACGATCGCCAAGCGTACGACGACGAGGCTACATTTGAAATAAACCTAGAGCGAGATAGTTATATGCACATCGCGTCACGTGACTCGATTTTAGATGCACACAACCTTTTCTTTTGCACCCATACACACCAATTGCGATTATATTTTCTTTTCCTTCCAAGTATTTCTAAATTCGGTTCCCCTAAAAAACCCTCATTTTAAAACTTTAATTTGATGAAATATAAATATGAGAGACGTACGTAAGAGATTTTCGTACGAGACAAATGAACGTTGTCATTTATCGTCGTCGGTTTAGACCGTAGTCGGGAGTCTGCAGACGAGTCAACCTTGCCGAAGAGAATATCATCGACCTTGCGACTTTAACGCATTGTACGCGCGAGCGTACGCGCGCGCGCACGTGCGTTACTCAATGCAGTCTGATCTTTCTAATAAATTCTAAAAGATTGTGCAAGCTTTTAGGGCATGCGTGATCGGCATCGAAAATCTTATTTCATGTTAGGGAGAAAACTATAGTAAATCTATATGCATGTACAAAATATATATTCACATGCATTTTGTTATATTCGCATTAGCTTCATCAACGAATCGCATAGATTTTATATATGTGATCTAATAATAAATAAACAAACGTATGATCGATTTCAATGTTTCATCGTGTCATAAAAAAGGAACAAAAGCTTTTCAGATTCCTTTTTTCATTTCCTTTAAAGATTTTCTTTTCTTCTTTTTCGCTACAAATTTCTTATTAATTATATAACGTCAAATATATCCGTGGTATAAACGACTTTCCGTAGAATACGATTAGAAGGGTGGTGGAAGGTGATCAGGGGAGGTAGAGGAGGAGGATGAGGAGGAGGAAGAGGAGGAGGAGGGGAAGGTCGTTACCTCGAAATTTATTTCTGTAAATTTTGAAGAAAAGAGGACGCCCAGGGTTCCATTACATCTTAATGGAACTTTATACACGTGTATACGCGCCAATGACTTGTATCGCTAATCGGTTAGGCCTAATTACTAAAATTGGATTAGAAACCGATTGCCCAGTAGGACAACGCCGACGCGTATCGTGTTGGAAAAATATATATTATAATAAATACTATAATTATTCCCATATGCGTGTATGCGTTCCTTTTAAAGAATTTTCTTAACTGACTAATTAAATCAATTTGTATTTTGCTTTTATCTTCTATTCGTAGTTTAAACAAAGATCTATAAAGATATTATAAATAATAAAAATGGCCGACAACGAATTCGAAGGATGTATACATCCGTGCGTAAACAAGAGACAAATAGATAGATAAATATATATATATATATATATATATATATATATATATATAGATAGAGATAGATATTGATATTATAATGTTAGATAAGACGTATATAACCCTTCAATTCGTAATGAAAATAGTTGTGAAAGTAAAACGAAGATAGATAAATACGTCTTTGATGTTAATACAAATTAGGGATTGTAATAAAAGCCTTGTAAACAATAGGGAGGATCCGCCCTTTAACGTTGCACGTTAGAAATCGCTAAAAATAAGAATTTCGATCGTTGCCAATTTTCAACAAATATGTTGGTAGTGGAAGTACGAAAACTGTCGTCGTCGTTGTCGTCAGTTTTCCTCCGCAGTTTTCCTCCGCAGTTTTCCTCCGCATGCAAATAAGCGTGGACGGGGACGGTAAATCCATTTTTTGTCTTCATACAAGAAAAGAATCAAACGGGAGAAAATCAATTTCGTTTGTTCTTAGAAAATAATAATAATAATAAAAGGATAAAGTAGAGAGGAAAAGAAAGAAGAAGAAGAAAAAGAAGAAGAAGAAGTAGAAGAAAAGTTTTTCGAAGAAGATGATCATCGTGTTTATAAGCAAGGAAGATTATCGAGAATTAGAAGATTTAAGGAATAAACGTATAATAAACGGATTCTATTTTATATAACGATCGATGAAGAAAATTAGGAAAAATATTTATCGTGAAAATTTGTTTTATTATCTATCGAGTATAAACGATTTGACGAAAAAGAGAGAACATGGATTCTATAAAATTATCATAATAGTGTGACTTTACGTGTTATGTGTCATTTCTCTATTTCTCATTTCACTCAACCGCGATTGCCAAGAGCAAGGAACAATAAGGATAGGCCGCTAAACCTAGGAAGAATCAGTTTGCTTTGCCAGAAATAACAAACTGATTTTAAACGAGTTGCCAAATCGAAAGAAACATTCTTCGGCGAGATACGTATCAAAGGTGTTTCTTATTTCTATCAACCATTTGGTAAGAGCACCGATTGGGTATATCAAATAATCGATAAGGAATACCATCATCAATCGGGTGATTAGAAAAAGGAAAAAGGATGTTCGATTTATCGACGAAAAAGATCCAGCATAAGTTGGAAAATTGGAAAAAATCGTCATCGGTTACTTGACGCTATTCGCGATCATCGACGTTTAATATTTTCAATCATTTCTTTCTGAGAAATATCATTAGCTTTCATGCCGGCCGTTCTACTTAATAGGGCATACTTTGTCTGTAACGATGACTACATTGTGAGTGTAAGCTCGTTGCTTAATTTACAACAAATTTCTAACTCGTTTCTAATTAATCATTTTAACAATATATTTCATTTTTAATAAATAACATTTCTCTTTTGATTCCCCGTGTGTCTTATATAGGCATATGTTTAATAATTCGAATATTGTTTATTCTTTCCAGTAATGATGATTTATTATATCCTCCATCTGTTCGAATGACTAATTTTTCGCTTTAAAGTGTATCTAATTTTATATGACCACTTACATCATCGTTTCCAGTTGTCGTCATCGTTATCACTATCTTCATCATAATCATCGTATTAAATTTACACATATATATATATATAATCATTTATTTCGAGGATAATAAAAAGAAACAAATTTCGAATTTGAAAGGTAATAATGAGCCATACAAATTTCGAAACGATAACGACATTCCTTATCATAAATGATATGATATATGTTTTATGTAGTAAAAAACGAGAATATATCATTTAAAATAACATATCGTTCGTTGTTATCTCGCCATTTAAATTTGAAATAGATAATCGGTAAACCTTGATGTAATCATCGATTGTAGAAACGTACATTTAGTTCGTCATTTGCTTAAAACAGATATTTCAGTTTCTCTTGGTACTAATCGTTCATTAGCAAACTCAAATAAATTTATATTACAAATTTAATCTAATCGTGAATTTGTTAAGTTAGTATTTATTTTGTTTGTTCTTTTAAATTGATCCAAATTTAACAGATCTGCGTGATTATTTTCTATGATTATTTAGAAGCGATAGAAAAACAAAAAGCAAAAGTTACAGTTATCAAGATCTTAAATCTTAAGATAAAAATGAATGGATCATTTGTAATTAGATTAAATTAAGATTTGATTGTCAATCTATTATTGGCATAATTTTACGGATTAGATAAAAATTGGTTGTTTAGGTAGATCGTGATTAAGTACATACTTGAAATTCGTCGGCAGTCTCGCGCCAAACATTACGGTGGAATCGAATTTCTTCCTTCGGTTAGAAATTATTCCAGTTATTATCCTCCTTTTGTGAAAAGAAAAGAAAAAAAAAAGAAACAGCAACAATCGAAACAGAATAAAACGCGCATGCTACAAAATGATTGAAATTGCTATCAATATGCCAGTGCTATTAAAAATAAGCATTATTAAGAGTTAGTATATTTCATATAATCACATTTTCTATAGCTTTTAGTTATATTCTTAGCATTTTCTCGGTTATGATTTGCATGTTGTTTGCGTAAGACGGAAAATTGTATTATATCACAAATTGATATTCGATCGATTTCTATTCAGATGTATGGTCGCTATACGAAGGACCTTGGGGAATACGCGAAGGAAGAAGCAAGAAGACTCAAGTATCATGAAAAGGCAAGAAAGAAGTATGACAAGACGAGAGCCGAGGATCTTAGAAAATCTAGAAGAGGCCCATTGTGTAGAAAACTCTTGGCATTGGTTGCTTTTGCTTGGAAACACACCGGAGCTAGATTGGGCGAAGATTGGGTATTTCTGGCACTTTTGGGTATTATTATGGCTCTCATCAGTTATGCCATGGATCGTGGGATCTCAATGTGCAACAACGGTCAGTTTGAAGAAATATTGAAAAAGCACTTATCGTTGTAAGTACTTTTAATAATCTATTTGTTTGTTTCACCAGCTAGAATATGGCTATATCAAGATCTGACGTCTCATCCAGCGCTCCAGTATCTCGCGTGGGTCTCCTTGCCCGTTTGCCTGATTTTATTCAGTGCTGGTTTTGTACATATAGTGGCACCGCAGAGCATAGGCTCTGGTATACCAGAAATGAAAACTATTTTAAGAGGTGTAGCTTTGAAAGAGTATTTAACTTTCCGGACCCTTATTGCTAAGGTGGGCATACTCAACATAACTCGAAACAACAATTGTATCGTTTGACAATTGTATCGTTTGACAATTTTATCGTTTGACAAGTTTATCGTTTTTAGGTGATCGGATTAACAGCCACTTTGGGATCAGGCTTGCCTCTGGGAAAGGAAGGTCCATTCGTTCACATTGCCAGCATCGTTGCGACTCTTTTATCTAAATTAGTCACCAGTTTTCAAGGCATTTATGAAAACGAGAGTAGAAACTGCGAGATGTTAGCTGCCGCTTGTGCGGTTGGCGTAGCATCGTGTTTTGCGGCACCCATCGGAGGTGTTCTCTTCAGCATCGAGGTCACCACAGTATACTTCGCGGTACGAAATTATTGGCGTGGTTTCTTCGCTGCGGTCTGTGGTGCCACGATGTTTCGACTCCTGGCAATATGGTTTCAAAGGGAAGAAACCATTACGGCTATGTTTGTAACCAATTTCACTATGGACTTTCCGTTCGATCCTTACGAACTTTTTGTCTTTGCTCTTATCGGCGTTGGAAGCGGTCTAAGTGGTGCCTTTTACGTCTGGTTGCATCGACAATACGTTATCTTTATGAGAAAGAATAAAAGTATGAACAGTTTCCTCCAGAAAAAGTAAGCCCTTCACATTGAAATATTTCATTTCAACTCTAATGAAAATTCATGAACTCTTTTTATTACGAGATATTTTCCAGTCGGTTTTTATATCCTGGTATCGTATCTCTTCTGGTATCATCGGTCTCGTTCCCATTGGGATTGGGTCAGTTTATGGCCGGTGATTTGAACACCCACGATCAGGTATATGGACTTTTTACGAATTTTACTTGGACCAAAGATAACTTGGGGGTCGAAGAAATGAATATAGTGAAACATTGGTCGACTCCGTACACCGACGTCTTCACCGGTCTCCTCAGCTACGTTCTATTCACTGTAAGTAGACAACGGTATAACGCCGAAATGATATTTTGATTATTATTTGAGAGAGCTCGCATATAAGGGAATATTATGAATGCAGTCAATAGAAAGAGTGGGATTCGATTCCAGTTCATCTTTTCCATCATAAGCTCGACAGTCCCCGTACCGTCTGGCATTTTCATCCCAGTTTTCAAAATTGGCGCAGCCCTTGGTAGAACCGTTGGCGAAGCTATGGCATTTTGGTTTCCGACTGGTGTTCGATATAATGGAATTATCACTCCCATTATACCAGGTATTACCGATATAATATCCGATGAGATATATTTCAATGAATATTTATCTCTAAGCTAGTCAAACTAACGAGAAACATTCGCTCAATTAATATTATTTCTATTTAGGTGGTTACGCTACTGTTGGAGCAGCTGCCTTTTCCGGTGCCGTAACGCATACCATTTCCGTGAGCGTTATCATTTTCGAAATGACAGGACAAATCACTCACATTGTACCAATAATGATAGCAGTCTTGATCAGTAACGCGATTGCTGCACTTTTACAACCAAGCATATACGACAGTATAATACTTATCAAAAAGTTACCTTACCTGCCGGATCTTCTACCGTCGAGTTCAGGTACACTTTTTTTTTTCTTTTCTTTTTTTTTCTTTCCTTTTTTTTTCTTCAATCCTTTCTCGGTCATACTCATAATTCATACAATTGTCTTATAAAGCATTCGTTTTTGGACTCATAGCAAGGTAACACTATAGTTTCAATTCATTTCTTTCAATTCATATGTTTTCGTATAAAACAATTTTCAGGTATGTACAACGTTTACGTCGAAGATTTTATGGTACGCGATGTGAAATACATTTGGCACGGCATCACTTATCAAAGACTCAAAGAGATACTTAAGGAGAATCGCAAACTTCGTGGCTTTCCGCTTGTAGATAATCCAGAATCTATGATATTATTGGGTTCCATTCAAAGGCTAGAATTGATCAAATTAATAGAAAAACATATTGGTCGTGAAAGGAGATTACAGGTACTATCATTTTCTATTTGTACCTTTCCAAATTTCACTATTTTCTTACATTTCCTTTTGTTTAGGTCGCTCAAAAATGGCACAAAGAAGCAGAGGAAAGAGCGAAAGAAGAGATGGAACGTCAATTGAGAGAGCAAGAAAGAACAAGGAGACCTTCCAGATTTGAGGTCATCCCAGCACCTGACATTCTTAAAATGCAAAGACAAAGTGTTAATGATTTAACGATGTCGGCAAATAACGGTGGTGGGCCGGATCATGTAAGTAACATTAACGTTACGTCAGATCCTAAACGATCGATGTTTTTTTTTCTTTTTTTTTTTTTTTTTTTTTTTTTCAAGAAAATATATTCATCATTTGCATATGCATACTTTACTTGTTATTTTAGCATACGTACCATTCACCGGTCTTCGGAACACAACCAAAGAAATCTATTTTAAAGAAAACCAATTCCTTTACTTTAAAAGGATTTAGTCCGCTAGTCAGCCCTGCTGTTACACCTTACACAACGGTTACTGGAGCAGAAAGCAGGTAAACCAACGTTATCTCTTAATTATTGTACTTTTTTAAGAACGCGCCAAGACATTCAACAAAGGTTTCTTCTTCAGAATACGCCTGGCCTTTGAAGCAATTTTCCGAAAATCAGCAACTTTGCAAGATGTTGATCCGGATCCAGAAATAGGTACTGCTACGGTACGTGAAAGTCAGGATGGTATGGACGCTCAGGTACATCAACCTATGCTTTCTTCTAGTCCGGCTACGTCGAAAAAAGTACAATTGGTGAGTATTACAAAATTCACCATTTATTTGTTCACAATAACGTTATTCATTATTTTTGTTCTTTAGCCAAGGGAAAGAGTAATCGATATGTCAGCCGAGGACCAAAAAAGATGGGAAGAAAGCGAGATGGCTCTCGAAGTTGATTTTTCCAGGTGTCACATCGATCCGGCACCGTTCCAACTTGTAGAAAGAACGTCATTGTTAAAAGTTCACAGTCTTTTTAGCATGGTCGGTGTAAACCATGCTTACGTTACGGCCATTGGAAGGTTGGTCGGAGTAGTTGCATTAAAAGAGGTTTGTCGCAATCGAAAATAAAACTATTGACTAATATTGCTTTCAAAAGTCATCCAAATAAATATGTTATTTCATTTTTATTTTATTTTATTTTTTTTTTTTTTTTTTTTTTTAGTTGAGGAAAGCTATCGAGGACGCTAACGCAGGAATTTTGCCGATGCATGCGGAATCCCATGTCGATGCTTCGAATTCCAGTCTGATAAAAAGCGAAACGGAAGGGGAAAATAAGAACGTCAGTTCGATCGAGAATGAGAAAATTGAAAAAGTTTAAGATAGAATAGATTGAGGGAGAGAGAGAGAGAAAGAGAGATGCGAAAAAATATAATGACAAGTAAGAAAAGAAAGAAAGGAAGAAAAAGAAATAGCAAGCAACAAATGTGATAGTCACGTTGCATGCTGTGAGTAGCGTGACCTGAAAGATGCAACTGCGAGATGCGCCTCTTTTTACCTATTCCCTACATTTTTTTTCCTATCTTATAACTTCCTAATGGTATATCTATAAGCAACAAGTTCTTTATCGCATAATGGCAGTAACTTGCATATATTCCTCTCGTACTTAAGTTTGAGGTGTACAAAATAGTTACTGATATGTGTATATATACCATATATAAATATGTATGTATATGTATAGAAAGAGAGAGAGAGAGAGAGAGAGAGAAAATTCTTTAATTAATTTTTTAATTTGAACATCAATTTTTTTAATCATATTATTTTTTTAATTGGAACTAATATTCTCTACTTTGCAATAATGTAGACGAAACAATAATGTAATTTTTGGTTTGTATCACTTGATATCTCTTATTCGTGCATAGATGCCATTGTACGGAGAATTTTATCCAAGGAAATATATATATACGTATATACATATAAACAAATAAATATACATAGTTATACGAAGAACTTTAATTATGGTAAATTTATGCAAATGAGTTTGCTTGAAAGATCACGGTAAACATATGTTTGATCATCTATCGATATAAATCAATATAGTATACTATAAATATACGTAAACATATACGTTATATATACACATGCATTAAAAGTGCGTAAGCATGAGTGAGAATCAAAATGATTCGCAATTCAAATAAGGAAATCAATTACGCGTGTATATTCAAAAACGAAGAAAAAGGAAAGAGTTGTGAATATCAATCCTAAATAATTCATCGTTGTATAAAGTGAAATAAGTATCGATGATCCTAAATAAGGCTTCATGCTCAATATTGTATCGTGAATCACGATTTCCTTATTATTATAAGTAGGATAATTTATATAATAATAATAATAATGTATTTTTTTATTTAATATAAAAATGGACAAAATGATTCAAATTGCCAAAAGCAAAAGATTATATCCTAATGTCTGAAGAAAGGAAGGAAGGAAAAAGGAAGTAAAGAAATAAAGGAAAACAAAAGCACAAAAATCCAAGCGTAATTTAGTTAATAAGATAGTAATTATTTGAGTAGAACAACAAAGATATAGCACTCATGGAAAAACTCCCTTAGCTCGTAACTATCTGACTATGGTTGTGCCAGGTTATTATTTATTGTAATTGTTAGATTTATTAATTGAGATATAAGAGAAATACGCTCGCATTGCACGTGCTGACATTAAGGAAAGAACACACGAAGGTATCTTATCGCAACGATCATGACATTAATTCCGTTCATAAAAAAAAACTTTACTAATAAATATTTTTTTCTTCTATTAAAAATACACCGGCAATTGTAAATATTTATATGCATTTAATTTAATAATGTTTGCTTTTTCTTTTCGTTTTAATTCTCTAAATATAAAATAAACGCATGCGATCGTAATAAATAAAAACGTATTTAGATAAAAACGAATCTGTTTTATCTTTTGACAAATAATGTCATGAACGCGTAAGAGATTAAGCTACCTTGAATATTTTCTTCTATATATAACTCAACGTTGTAAATTAACAGAAAATTGAAACAAGACGCGTACAATAATGTCATGAAATTTTCTAATCAGAATGGGTACTCTATCTATATATCATGTATGTACAACAGCCCATAGATTTTAGAGTATTGTACATTCCATCCGATTATATTTCCATGATGCATTCTATCCTCGTGAAAACAATTAATTAACAAACTTGATCAAATTAATATAATAATAGCACTTTATAAATGCATACGCGTTATACTACGTTATTGTGAATAATACTAAACAATTTATCGCCTTTAAGTTTTCACAAATTGATCTTTGTAAGATTCTTGATAAAAAAAAAACATTTCTTGTATAATATGACTTGAAAAATTAATTGTATAAACAATAAAGGTTCTAATGATGAATCTAGGAACACACACACACAAAATATTAAATCTTGTTATCACATTTAAATATAATTATTCAATAATAATAATTACCCGCCATTATTATCATTATTATTATAAATAGGAACATCAAATACTTTTTACCACGTAAAATACGAATCGACATAAACATTCAATACTATTAATATCCATCTGTTTAAGTTAACTTTTAACGAACGATATTATTTATTAAATATAAACCAACCATGCAAACACTTTGGTACAGGTCCAGGTGTATCGAAGGTAGCTCTCGCAATTTCGGTAAAAGTTTCAGCATCCAAAATCAATAAACCAGCTTGGTTCTCACGATCCTGAGCCCACAAAAGAGCACTCACGATCACTCCATCGTCCTCTTTCTGTTCGATTAGATTTAGAAACGTAAATGAATCGACTATTTACTCTTTGTTGCGTGACAAATTATATTATATATATATATATATATATATATTACCTTTCCATGTGGATCGGGTACAAAAATTGGCTCACTAGGGTAAACATTTTTTTCGCACCATGTTTTCTTTGTTTTATTCACCGTGTCCACTTTAATTAGCTATGGACGAAGCAATAGGCCGTATTAATTGATAAAATAATTTGTCTCTGTTCGTTATGTTTTTTTTTTTACTGTAACATTAATTACTTTGTAATTACCGTGCCAGGATTTTCTATGTCAACGTCGCTGGATATCGCGTAAAAGTAGCGATACTCCATACCAACGTAAGAATCATAATTTATACGAGGTGTTTCACAACCAAGATCGCAAAGAAGTTCTGGTTTAACAAAAATATTCCCGTCTGGTAACTTGTGAGCTGCAGCTTTTCTTCTCAAAAGATTACTACTCCGATTCTCGTACCTTTTATCCATTCCATTGGATTTGTCTATGTTAGTATCTTTTTTGTAATTATTCTCTTCGACGAGTTCAACGTTAGCCTCACTTTTCTCATCGAGTTTCAATCCTTCAAAAACTTCAGCACTTTGGTAGACCGTTTTAACGTTGATCAAATTATATTCCATTGGGACGTCGTTCGAAGGTTTCTTCATTGGTAAAATAAAACGCAAAGGTCTACTACGAAATAATTTTGCGTAATCGGGATTCTTATGCAAATTCTATAAAAAAAAAAGAAAAAAATGATGAAGAGGAAAAGTGAGACATAATTTGAGAATTATTATTTTCTTATCAATAACTATTATTATATGCAAAAGAAAATATATCGATTATATAGTAGATAAACAATTGTACTTATTTATTTTGTATCTTTTTCCCTTTTTAATTATTTCAACAACGATTAACATACCTTTATCGTTTCAATATACATACACTCCAACATTTTTGCATTTCGATAGCAACAGATATCTAGAACGATGTAATCTCTGTCACGAGTCTCAAATTGATTAATAATGTGTAAATAAAAAAATGTCTCAGCGATAAAAGTCCTCTCTACTAGGCCAGTCTCTTTCGATATTACATGTATCAGAGTCTGTAAATATTCAATTAGATATTTATAAATATGATCATACACATGTTTAGACGAAGTTATTTAATATTATAGAGAAATAAAGAAAACATTCATACATCTTTATCTTCATACCACTTCATGCAACCTATCATAGCTTCTTGTTTGATCTGACAAGCCATCATACTTAAAAGAGAAACAGCCAAGGGTTGTTCTATGATAATAAAATAATTTTCAGTTATTCCAAAAGTATGCATATAAGAAGGATTTATTAACCATCTCGATGGACAGGTAGCAACAATAACTGCTTGATCAAACATGGATAATTCCTTTTCTTCGCCATTTTCATCTATAATACAATACAAAATTAGAAAATCTTGTAATATAAATGATGTCTTTGACGTTCGTTATTTCTAACAGATTATATCGCTCAAATTACCAATGATAATTCTAGAAGGTGAAAAACAAACAACAGTGTAAGCAGAAGCTCGAGAAGTTATACTAAGTCCAACGTTATACACAGTTCCATCGTTCGCCACGTGAGGATGGGAAGTATGATTGACAATGTTCACATAATCTGATACGTTCACCTAAAAAGATTGGACAAAAAAAAAAAAGAAACGAAAAAATGAAGTCAGCCGATTTATTCGGCAAAAGATATTATCTTTTTGTTCGAACGCGTTATTTACTCTGTTCTTGGTCTCCAAGGTTTCCGGATCAATCCGATGGATTACGGGTGATTCCGTGAACGTGTAATACTCGTCACCAAGTGGATAAACCGATATCATCGTGTTATCCGAGAAGCTTTCCGACGGATTAAATACTGCAGTAACTCTGACATAAGTAAACATAAGTAACATACATTTCTTTAAGGTTTTGTCAATAATTTACAATCGAAAATATTCAAGTGGTAACGTTTTTTGTATTTTTTCCTTACCTCTTGAAAATAGTTTGACAAGGATCTGGCACAGCTTTCGTACCAAATTCCGATACCACGATTCTTTGGGCAGCTTTATTTTTTTTATAAATCTCTGTCTGTACAAATCTTCTTTGATAAGTTACATTTCCATCCGATATTTCAAACCTTTCAATTTATTATTACTCAGTTAGATAAGAATTAATGATAAATCTCTTTTCGTTTGACAATCGTTTAACAATGTTATTATATTAAATATTTGATCATTACCTGTGCAAAAGAGCCGAACTGTCGAACAAATGATTAAAAGTATAATCGCCCACTTTCAAACTGCCAGGACCATTTCTCAATAGACTACCTTTCAACCACTTTGGTATTTTACCAACAACGTGTCCAGGAATCGGATCGATTACTTCGTATTCACAAGATCTTGTCAAAATAGATCCATCACAATTCGGCCAATAATTCGTTTCATCTTCCGCGCTATCGTTTTTTACCAAATCGGTATCATCGTTGATCTATAAAAATGAACAACGAATCACGTTTACGTCAACAATACGTTACGATCGAGGTATCTCAAAAATGTATGCGTACATTCATGGGTACATTAATGCGTACATTGAAAGAGGTGTTAGACTTATTGATACATTTCTCGTTTATAAGATCACCGATAATATTTAAATTTGAACATAGATCCTCGGTGGATCGCGATCTACGATAACTGCTCCTACGTTTCATGTTAGAGCTATAATTTTTCAATCAAAATGTGGTACCGAAATAGATAAATCCTAACGTTATTTGTCTACTTTGAAAATTTATGCTTCCTCGTCACCGTTCCCGTCCGTAGGCAAATCTGCTTCGAGTGGTTCCAGTATAGATGACAGAATCTGATATACCCTTTTGTGAGTAAAATCCATGATAAACGTGGCAAGTTCGCGAAACGAATGACACTATTCTCTTGACCTTACAACGTAGACTCCTTGAATCTGACCTGATTAACTTATGAGATAGTATTGGCTTGCTCGAAGCCACAGGAATTGACACGTGCTTTATTAATCGGGTTTCGATTTTCACGTGCACGTGCAACCTTCGTAAATATTCTTCTACGTGAAATCACACACACGTGTCGTCTCGTTTTCGGATCTTTGTATATTTTTAACATTACAAGTGACACTCTTAATATGATTAAATATATTAACAAGTATTTCTTCGATTAATTAAATGCCTAATAATAAATCGAATATTTTATTTGTTCGTAATTAAATCGAAAAAGAAATCTCTTGAAGAAATGCCATTAGGCATTTACTTTTAAGTCTTTTTTATGATAATAAAAGGATTCATACAATTTTTGTCAATTTTAAACTATTATGGCGTTTCATCAGAAAAGAAATATATTTTTGTTAGCATCTTCACACAAGACAAATAAAATCAGTGATAATTTAAAAAAAAAAAACGTTAACCATGGGTGTTGGAGTCTAAATACAATTAGTTAAAATAAATACATCTAAAACTCGCGGGTGGTCTGACTTACCGACAAAGCCTCCATTTTGTTACATCAAATGTATTAAATGTTCTGAAGTATGCTCGCGAATCGTTGTATATGTTACTGGTATACGTGTTCTTCGAACAATGTCTCATTCTCTACTATACGAAGGATATATATATATAATATTCAAGGATTAATTTATGCATAATAAAAATTATTGTATTAAATTAACATATATATATATTTATTGATAAGCTTCATTAACACGTGCATATTATTTATGAGATAAAAACATAAATACACGCGGCACATGTATTGTGGATTAAAAAACAATATTATTTTCCTTGTTCTTGATTCACATATACTAAGCAAAATCTTATGTCCAAGGAGCGAATCCTTTATTATTCCTCGTTAACATTTTCTTTCTTTTCTTTTTTTGCAGTCTATAATATTAATGGACATTTTTGTACGATATTACGTGTGACAGCTTTAAAGATTTGCTAAATCTGGAATGTGGTTCATTTGCTTTGAAAAACTATAGCAAGTTTATATTGTATGTGTATGCATTAGTTTTTCAAATTCGTGCAAAAAATGTTGAAAATGACGATACTTATAGTTAACGTGCACACACATGCGCAAGCAAGAAATAAAAATAAACACATATGGAAATAAAAATAAATTATTTATACAGACGTATCTCTCAAACACATCGATTATTTAACAATTACATATAAATTCCGTATTTTTACGAATACCAAATCCGTTACCTCGAAAAAACTATCGAAATTATTCGACAAAGATGTCCATTTTCCCATTACTGTTGACGATTTACTTCGCTCCGCCATTTTTTAAAATTAATTCTAGTCCTGACAATTCGAAAATGGGAGACTCAACTTTGAATAACCGGTGGTAATCGAACGACTGACTGGGTGTAAGCCAAAATTTATTTGTAGAACGGTTCAAAATCCACCCGAGTTTAAATAATAAGATTTGTATTAATCATGAAAATGTATTTTTACGTATGAAATATCTGAAATATTTTCTTCGTGACATTTAGCGTAAATTTATCGCCAAAAATTGAGATTATCATGCGAAAATATTATTAAAAAATGCAAACAGTTGTCCATTTACGAGAATAACGGAAAGGAAAAAGGAAAAATGAAAAAAAGTAAACGAAACTTTTTCTTTAATCGAAGATTAAATGATGCGTTTAAATGTTATACGTTGAGATAGTTTTGCATGTAACAAATGATAGATAGAAAAGAAAGAGAGACAGAGAGATACTGATTAGGAGAACGATTGGGTGCGTGGGCAAAAGTAGTAACGGTGGGGTGGGGAAAAGGAAAGAGAATATCGGATCGAAAGGAAGCCTCCCCGTTACTTGGACTCTGCGCACGCACCAATGCGCACACGTAATCCACTCCGGACCACCACGTGCTTGTCACGTGCACAAAATGTCGCTAGCACACTTCGCAACAAAGGCAATAAAATCGAATTAGTAACGACGTCTACAGGCTGACTAATATCAAATTAATACGCTTTGTTTACGCTAATAACGTAACCATCTTTTTTTTTCTTTTTTCTTTTTCTTTTTCTTTTGCTTTTTTTTTTCGCACATTATAGAATCGTGCGTATATTCGATCGTAATATTATTTTTTTATCCTGCAAGTCAAATAACGGTCAATATAAATAAATCGAATTTTATTTCTTTGTGTATTGAAATCTTTTGATTAAACGTTATTTATGTCGAACGTTATTTGTGTCGTAATTACGATTTTACGATCGAACGGTATTAATTCTTCGTAACGAGAACAAGCTAATTCTTGAAACATTTCCGAGCAAAATACTCACCTTAATGAAACACTTAAATCATTCTGTCTTTTCTTTTCTTTCTATCCCAGAGATTTGATTAATTAAGGAATAGAGCAGGAAGAATACGTTCCGTCCACGTGGAATCGCGGAATATCAACTCGTTTTATCGATCCACTTGTTTGTGTTTACTGCATTACGTGCTACAGGTCAAGGTCAATTGAAAATGACTCGAGGCAAGCGTAAACCGAGTAGTTCTTCGATACTTTTTTTTCCGTCAAAGGAATATTATTTTCATGCACGACCATTTAATTTTGTTATTTTCCTTTGCAATAATAGACAATGTCTCTCATCTACGTGCCAAGAGAGTTGCGGTATATATTTCAATCATCGATTATATTTTTCAAAGCTTTCGATGAGTCGCTGATAAAAAAAAAATGTAAACGGATTGTTAACGCTCTGCCATGTCCATTAAAAACTTTGCCTGGCACAAATTCATTAATTAGCGTTGACGATCGTGAGAAGAGTCATATGGGAAGCATTCTCATGTTACTTTCCAGACATTTCTATAGATCACACAATATAACATTTGTAATATTTTCGAGTTAACTGTTTACTTTTGTTAAAAAAAAAAAGATATTAATACCTTTTTTTATCTTTCGTCTGGCGCGCTTCTCTTCATTTATTTGTTCTATTAATTAAAACAAAAATCCTGATACATAATATTTTTCAATGTTTATTTAAGAAGAAAGATGCTAATGTGACATCGAGTTTGATTATTTTATCGTTCGCGAATAAGATTCATTAAAAAACATTAACTCTCTGCTTTTTCCTTGATTTTATTTTTCTTTATTAACGATTAACATTCTCGATGCGTATGATCGTTTATATCTCGAACGTTGTTTTCTTTGCTACTTAAAAGAAAAATAAATCAAATGCTTATCTGTTGTTCGTTTGTAAGATATAAAAATTCGAATTCCCGTTTAATTTTCTCGACAGTTTTCTAATGGCTCTAATTATCGAAACAGAAAACTCTTTTGTTTTGACGATAGAATTGTAATATATATATGTAAATTATAGTATAAAGTTTGAAATCATTTGCGAAAGGTTGGATAGAAAATATAAAAAAGAAATACTTCATTCATTTTCTCATTGAACTTTTGCGAAAAAACTTTTTCCCCGATGCAATATATAACTTAACAATTACGTGCAAATCTCAAAGAGAAGCTAACAAGAAAGATCATTCATCGACCAGTTGAAAATGACTTATCGATATAGAACATTGTGTACACACGCATTCAACGTAATTGTATAAGTCAATTTTTGTTCGGGTGACACTCGACGACAACAATAACAGGTGTTCGTTCTGGAGATAATAATTCGTTGGAAAATAAAAAAAAAAGGTGAAAAGAAGAATAATTATAGAACATAAGGTGTGTGTGTGTGTGTGTGTAAATAGATATCGTGTCAACGAGAAGGTGTCAGCTGTGTGTAAAAATGAAAAGAAGACATACCAAATTTTCTATAATCAGGAAAAGAACAAAATAATAATGTAATCCATTGCTTCCATACGGTATAGGAGGAGAACTTTTGAAACAGAAAAAAAATACACACTTCGATCAGAAACGATAAATTAACGAGTACTAACTAATCTAGAAATAATGAACCCTTTTCTTCACCCTATACATACAGGGTGGTACAAAAAGAGAATCTGATATTTGAAAATCTTATAGTATTTATCATTAGAAGTACAAAAACATATCAACTGTTCAATCAGCTTGTTTTTGATATGTTTTTTTATCTCATAAAAGTACATTTGATAAAGTAAGGATCTATTATTTTAAATGTTAGGATTTCGTATCACACATTCATATGGTTACATGGTCACATGGTCTCTGTTTATTGATTTCTCTCACTTACCGTAGTTTCTTTACATACCAATAATACACGTATGCATTATATAGTTCCATTAAACAAAAACGTCGATAATTTTGAAATTTCCTAAAAAATATACCTTATCTAAAAAATAACCATGGGAACAAATTCTTTCCACCATTACATTTTATCTCCTGCAATAGTGCAAATATTTGTCCTTTAAAGTTTTTTTGCCTCAAGTTGGTTGCCTCATTCTGTATATTTTTTGTTTTACATACAGCCCAATACGCATGATGTAAAAGAACACGTGGGACAAATTTCGGATGATGATAGTACTCTTAAAAATAATGAAAGAAAAAAAACATATGTTCTATCTATCTTCTGTGTTTTATGAAAGTTAGATGGCATTATAAGGGATTCATTTAATTTATATATATATTATTTATCTAACGTCATACACACAAACATTTAATAAAAAAAACTTTCTTTTAGATAATCACTCAACGTACTCGTGACAAAGAAGCGATTTTCGTTATTCTGTATATCGAGTTATTATTCAACAAATATTGACTTTTATTCATCCGTATCTCGAGGCAACGTCTACCGATAAATTGTTTTTTATTACAGTTATTTTTCTACTTAATCTTATCGCCAAACTAACACGATAGTTGACAGTCCTTAACACAAATCCCAAACTGCAAAGCTTGCATATCTTCTCACAAATTTTCGATCAAAAATTATAACTATAAGATAAAAAACTTCTCTCACTCTACAAATATTTTTTACCAAATAACTGCAGTGTTACG